GCCTACATACATCAAATTGTCTTTAAATTAAGAATTACTGTTGAACTTTTAAAAGGTAAACTTATATATTAATGCAAAACTTAAATGAAGCAATCAATTTTGAGTTTTTCTGTAGTTTATTGTTGCCAATCACATACAGCAGCAGTATGCCTCACAAAAGGAAATCACCACCAACAGAGGACCTGATTGTAATCGAAAGACCTAAGGCTGCACTGAGGGAAAGAAAGTCCTGTGTAAATGAAAACCCAGATCAAATGGCAGCTAGGAGAGCTGAGAATATGCAAAGACTTAGGGACTATCAAACTCCTGAATAAGCCGAAGGCCCAGTTAAGAGCCCTCCACAGGAGATAGCTTATTTGCCACCTGATAAGGTGGCTTTTAAGCTAGTTTTACATGTATTTACAATCCAAAATTGCTACCTTTTGTTTTCACCATATTCCTTAATCTTTTCTCAGTTAATGTGCATGACCTCTTTGCTCAAATTGTACTACAACAACATAAGAGTTACTTACAAGTCTGACACACTTGAGTTTGAGATACATGAAACATTGTTCTCCAATATGAGCCATATCAAAGTCCATAAGATCAATTAGGGCTTGATGGAGGCCAAATTGACTTGTTAAAAGATCCATGGAAATGTTTTTGAAATCATGAGAAGCAACAGCAGTTCAAACTATGACACCAGATAGTTTATCACTTAAAATGTGTTCCAACAATTTTGATAATGTTTCCTGGTGAAGTGGTATAAACCCTATTGTTTTGATAGCTGATCAGTCTTCACAGTGAAAAACCTCTCATCCTACCAAATGAAGACTTTGTCTGCAGCATGTTACATCTTCAACATTTGCTTCTCACACCCAGGCTAAACTTGCTAGGAGGCACTTGAGAGCAGTTGTCATTGAATCTTGTATGGTTTTTGCCCTATATCCTCTTTCACAATCCTCTTTAGTGACCTATCCAAATTATCCAGCTCATTTGCCACCTTCCTTATGCTTCTTTGTGGATTTCTCTTCACCCTCTTCTTGATGGCTTCAATGACTCTCTTGGTATGAACTGAATTATTTCTTCCAGGAATTAGATTTGGAAAAAATTTTGCTTCTCTTGAAACTTTTTCCACACATTAAAATCAGTTTTTCTGCAAACATTCAACTATTTAATCACCTCACAATTCTTCATACAAAACCATTATTGATCACATTTTGTTTGAGTCACCATATTTAATTAAACTATAAACAACATAACGAAAGAATGTTAGAAAGCCTTATGCAAAATTTTAAACTATTTTTATAAATAGGTATATTTCAGTTTGTTTAAATATTTATATTGCACCCGATAATTTTCGCTTTTCAGTATTTCATTTTTATTATCAACTTGCTTACCTCCTTGCTTTTGTTGTAGTCCCAAATCATTTCACTTTGACCATTGAATTTTACAATTTTTGTTGTGTGTCCTGATGAACTAAAGTTTTCATCAAATTGATCTTGGGACAAAAATGTAAACCTGAACATGTGGGTTTATGGCACACCAATGTAATAAACTTAGAATTAAGTCTAATGACTTTATAAATGTCAACCAAGAGCAACTTTTCTTTCAACAACTTGAGAAGACATTTCTGAAAATTTAATTTGATATTCTTGGTTTTATCTGATAACACCCCCCCACCTCAATGTAAATTTATCCTCCCACCCCAAATAGACCTCATTTTATGAATGTAGTCATCACAATTTAAAATTACTATCCTAGACCCTTTACCTGGTTTAGTAATCACAATAAATTTATTGCGACACAAACCTTTTAGCAGACGAAACTGTTCACTCTACCATGGAAACTCAGATTGGCTAATAGAACCAGTAAAAGCATGAGCAAGATCATTCAGTCTAGCTCTAAGTGCACTAACTTTATCAGTCAAAATGGCAGCCAACCTCAGGAGTTGAGCACAAAAGCTTCAAACTCTGAAAATATAACCTCCTCTTCAAACAAAACTGATGGAATAGAAAAATCCACCCCATTTGATTAAACTTGCAATTCACCAGTTGTCAATTGATCATTTGAGAGATTAAGTACACTTTTATTGTTCTTAATTTCACCATCAAATCTTTTTACAAATTTGGAATCATAGTCTCCTGAATGTTACTAGTGGAGGTTAAACTACATTCATCCAAATTGATGAGCTAGTTAGCTAAACAAATATTATGGAAAAAAGACAATCTCCTCACAAACACCAAAGAAACCAAAACTTACCTCTAAGATAGAGGATAGTTTTTATGAGCTATAATATTTCATTTGTAAAAGTACACTCAATGGAAGGACTAATTTCATTTAGCTCTGGAGATTTGTGCAGTGATGTAAAAGGGGCCAACTTTATTTTTCAAACAGCCTTTTAAAAAGTTTTGTTTGAATGTGCAGTACATATTTTCTTTCTTAATTCAAGCTAGTTTAAGCTTCTATGAATTAAAATTTTGTTTAATAAATCTTCCTTACATGAGTAAGTAGAAAATTCATCTCAAAATGTAAATAAAACCTTTAAAATTTGCATAACTTTTAACTTTTTTAATTTTACTTTCTCAGTCTTCCTGAAAAAGATAGTCTATTGTATTTGGTACATTCAATGTACAGTAATATTTTTGGTTAAATGTAATTTTTGTTATATTTTATTTGTCATCAGCATATTTTTTCAGTTGTCTTATCATTTTACCCCAAGCAAGGCAATAAAGCGACTAAGACAAGAGGTTACTCCATGTGAAAGAATAAGAGAAAAAGAAAAAACATTAAGTTATTGGAAAGCAAGAGGCCAGAAGAATGTTCCAGAAGTGAGAGTAGAAACTGTTAGCATAAAACTTATGGTTACATCTAGCCATTTCAACTGTAAAATTGAGACATCGCTGCCAATCTAGTACTACACTTAAATTTGTAAAATTGAGGTCCCAAAAAGCAAAGTCCATCATGGAAATATATTTATAGAAAAGGCACAGGAAAGTTATGTTACAGTAGTGGGGAAAGGGACTGAAACTGAGATGTTGCAGTTAAGTGTAATATTCTTGAAAATCTTGAATATGTATACACTTATGTATCATGTTTTAATCAGTTCTCTCTTCATCCATTTTCAAATGAGGCATATTGTATCTTATGATCTTTTTATCCAGTGAAAAAAAAAAATTGTCTTGTTTTTGTGAGTTAAAAAAAATGTTTTCCAATTTCTCTATTTTAATATGCATTGACTTTCTATTATTACTTAGGAAAAAAAACTTTGACAAATTCTACATAGATCTATTCATTTTGTCATCTTTTTATTACAAAACAAAAGGAGCTATATCTCACCTGGATTAGCTCATGCTTGCCTATTTTGTTAATCATACACAGGTATACGTAGTTAATTAATCAACTTCATTTATGCCTCTTTTTTTTTTTTTAATGCCTATGTCATATGGCTTCATTGTGGAGATGCGGACTCTAAATCCTACTACCAGTCCAGCTGCTTGTCTATTATTTAGTTAAGTACTACTAATCTCATTATCACTTAACTAATTTGCTTTTGATCAAGTTCAATCTGAAATTGCTGCTTCATTTTTAAAAATCCATTGATTTACTGAAAATATTTCCCTTTGACCTCCCTACATTTATTCCACTTTGATAAAAAGTCATTATTCTTTCTTCAATGAATTCTTTATTGAAGGTATCAGTTTGGTCCTAACTGAACATTTTTTTTATAAAGAAAATGGTTTAGATGCTTGAGCAATCACTAGGAAAGAGGTGTTATCATTATTTTTCAGCAAAATGATACCACAAATGTCACCAAAATGGGCATTGTCAGTTTTCAAGGCAGTATTTCAAATTGGTCTACATGTGTATATGGTTTTATTACCTTGAAATTAGTTATAATGCATAAATATAATGTAAAAAAATTATTTATTATGCTGGACACAAAGATTGTAGAAACTTTCCCCCAATCTTTCCTACTGATGGCACAAATTAATTCTTATATGCACCCCCAATCATGACACAACACTTTTTTTCTTTCTCAAAAGGTAATTGAGTGTATTGAAATTTGGCATATTTCATTACCTAGGTAAACCCAGACAGCTTTTAGTATAACCCATTTTCTAAGTGTAAATCTCCAATTGTAAATTTAATTGACCAACAGTTTCCAACTGCAAAATTGATATTCCTTGCTTCATTGTTATAGCATGGCTTAGATTCACCCAAGTATAAAATCTTGAGTTGAAATGTTTTCCAGATTTGCCTTAATCCTTTAGCATTCAACCCTCCCCATAAATATCAGCTCCAAATGTTCAACACACCATAATCTGCCCCATGTATACTCTGCCATAATATATGATGACATCATCACAAATAATGCAGGAAGTGATGCAGTGAGACTTTGAGAGCCAATATTTATGGGGTGGGTTTGAGCATGTTGAATGCTAAAGGATTAATAATGTACTAAAAGTTAATGAAAAAATTTTTAAACTAAATTAAAAATATTTAAAAATCTGAAATAAAAATATTGAGCATAAACTTAGCAATTTTCTGTAGAACAGTCTAATGAAAAAGAAATTTCAACTAAATCAAAATGAATTGTATTAATAAATTATTGATAGAAAAATCTCGTCCATGTAAATATTTTTATATTCAACTTGAAAAAATTTTTAGTTTCTTTTTGAAATTTTTTTTTCTTTAAAGAATTAAAAATTAATTTATATGATTATTGGTCTTTAGATTGAATGGTGAATATCTTGTCAAATTTAGCATGAAATAATATTTATGAAGCACCAGATGAATATTTACAAGAATTGCAGGTTTTCAAGTAAATATTAATTCACCAGTATTATCAGATTATTTATATAAATTTCATGAAAAATTGTTAAATTCTTCATTGTTTCATTTGAAAACCTCAATTCCTTCTTCAAAATTTATACATTTAATAAGACAGTGAAGTCTTGATTTCATTTTATCCTTACTATGTGGATTTATAAAAACAATTATGTCTCTATTTATTTCAGTTTTCCCTTTGAAGTGTGCTGTTCAGAATTATGTGTGGGGCAAAGTTGGTAATAACAGTGAAGTCGCTCGACTTTCACAATCAGGAAATCCAGATTTCAAGCTTCACCAGGATGTACCATATGCTGAGGTTGGTGTTGTAAACTTTTTTTTTCTTTTCATAATCCTTACTATTATGATTTAAAAACTTTTTAAATCCAATCTTGTTTAGAGGGAAGGGGGACCATGTCATATAAATGAAATATGCTTAAAGTTTCTTTGAATAAAATACTATTTTACTCCACATTGTTGTGAACAATTCATTTTTCATTGCCTCTGATTGTTTATTTAAAAAATGGTTCATTTTTGTTGTTTGAGCAGAGAATCACCGATGGAAATGCAATCAATTAAATCCTGAGGGACCCAAGCATCATAGCTATTTACATCTTTTCCAAGTATTCTCGAATAACTTACACTGAATATTTCAAATGAGTTTATATATCTCTGCTACAAGTCCCTTGTTGTGTGTCTTGGATTATTTTTAATCAGCATTTCAATTTGGTCATCATTAATGACTGCAAACCTGCCAGAATGTTCTTGGTATTCCAGATTAAAATTTCTACTTTTGAATCTAGTTAACTCCTTACAAACAGTACTCTCATCTATGGCACCATCTTCATAAATGGCACCAAATAACAAAAATGCATATCACTTGCCTCCATTTTAACTTTTAGCATAAAAACATTTAAAATTCACAATCCACATCGAAATCATAGAAAGATGCACCCGTTTGGAATATGTATATATGTCATAAATTTGAATCACCTGTTGAAATGCCACCTATTGAAAAATGCTACAAAATTTTGCTCCAACCCAATATAATGTAATTTTATATTTTTCATTCCTCATAAAGTCTTGATTGAGGTGTGAAGGTGCTGACAAATCTTAAATTGTTTTGACTTTATAACTTGTTTCACATCAAAAGTTGAAAGTTTCAGCATCAAAATTCCCTAATGTTGAAAAAAGCAATAAGAGGGACTATGGAAGACCTTCACATTAATCATTGTCCTGCTACTTGTGATGATAGTGATTGAAATGATAATAAATATGGAAGTTGCATTGTTTTTATAACAAAACACAGATTGACGTAATACTTTGAGTTTGAAATCAGAAAATGATCTTTGCATTTTATATTTTCTTCTGATTACAATAAATGAAAATGCTACCTTCTTAAGAGGCAATGAAAGGATTGTCTTGTTTGCTATATGCACGAATGATCCAGAGTGTATCGAAACTGTATATTTGTGTGTCCTTATTTTATGTTAAGACTAGCCAAGGAAAGACAACTGTCAAGTTAAAAAAAAAAAAAATTTATCTCAAGATGCTTTAATTCTGCATTTGTTTCTAAAATGCCAATCTGTATTATAGTAGACATATGTTATCCTGACAAGTTGGGAAGATAGGATATTGTTTGGCTAACTGATCTGATTATAAAGAAAGGAAACCATAGTAAACATGTTACCAAAACAAAACATTTGATTTGATTTCATCTAATCAAGAAAATGACTAATAACATAAGATATAACATAAATTAATGATATTTTATAAATAAAAATTTTATCTATCAAACAAGAATATGGGGCTGATAATTGAAGAAATTATGTAATTATAAAAACTTAATTTATGCAAGTGTATAGGAAATGCACTTAGTTCATTGAAGATGCTAAGTTCATTGAGGTGAAAATTGATTTTTATTTGTTAATTATTTCATCCCTATTTAAAGATCAAAATGACTGGCCACTTTTTCTTCAGACAGAGAAGCAATAATAAACTAATCAATAAATTGTATCCATTGTTACAAGACAAGTTATAAAATTGATATTTATGGTACTTTGAAATTTCATTTTAATAATCCAAAATTTAGGTAATCAGTGTTTAACCAAAGTGCCGTGTGTGTGTGTGTGTGTGTGTGTATATATATGATGAAATGGACAAAATCCAACAGTTATTTTAAGACATTTTTTATGTTTATACATTCTTTTTATAGATACAAATATTTAAGTAAATGTTCTGTTTATAATAAACAACATTTAACTGCCTGAATGTCCGAGAAATTTTCATAGAAAATATGCGTCCTCCAACAGGAATTAAACCTGTAGCCTATACAGAATTATCATATAGCCTGACATGCTTTACCGATTTAGCCACAGAGGAGCGTTTCGATTAGCAAGGTTGATTTTATGAAAATTTCTCTGACATTCAGGCCGGTAAATGTTGTTCATAATGTTTACTATAAACAGAGCATTTACTTAAATATTTGTATGTATAAAAAGAATGTATAAACAAAAAAAATGTCTTTTTATATATATATATATATATATATATATAATTAGAATATTCATCTTTAAGAGCAGGTATTTTTACCATGGCGAAGTTTTTCACATCCACTGCAGTCACTTCATCTCTGTATTTAGAATGCTACTGATACTATGGACTTTTAGAAATATGCACAAATATTTAGATGATTACATTCAGTTAGTCATTTTGGGTAAGTTTTTTTTTATGCTCCAGACCATTTAGAGTCTTCGTGAAATTGAAATGATAGAAACATGTTCAGTTAGCGTCCTGAAACCTGACAACTTACCTGTATACTCTACTATTCCTGGACATTTAGGGTAAATCTTACTATGTAACAAATGGGCAGTGAAGAAACCCAAATGGTTAGTTTATTATATTTAACATATTAGGCTGTGTAATTCTTTTCAATCATTAAACACAAGTGTTAAAATCTCCTTTTGATTATCTGCTTTTTTTTTTTTTTTTTTTTTTTTGTTGGTTTGGTTAATTATAACTAAAGCACCAACTTGTTTATTATTTAAATATTTATTCACATTCCCTGCTACATTTGTTTGCCAGAAAATTGATTTCTATTTCCTCTCCAATTTTTTCATCTAGAATTTTATCAGCTTTGTATTTGCTTATAAATTTATTTGTCTTGTATTTACTTATTTTCTTCAATATCTATCATTAAACTTACTCATTGAATGTTGATGCCTAATTCAAAATTAGACAAAATAAACATTCAAATTTTATATTGTTTTAAAGTTTATCTATTTTACTTTCGTTATTTATTGAATCTTATTTCTTTCAATTCATTGCACTGTAGATTTAGAAAAATTAGATTATATATAATGGTTAATTGAATAAGGATGTGGAAAAATGTGTATGGGCATATTTTGGGTTTCTTGATACATATAGGTGCATTTGAGAATATTGTGTTTAGATAGAAATACATGGAGGTATGTGTATATATGTATACATGAAAACTGATAGGTTTATTGACCTGTAATATGTGCTTAGATAGACATATATGGAAATATGCAAATGTATGATGCTAACTGAAATTATTGTTAACCATGCATGTTATGGATTTATGTTGTTTAGTTCTTTATACTAGTGATATGTCCATTATGACTATCCTTGTTGTAGTGTATGTATTATGGGCGAAGAAAAAAAATGTGTATATTTGCATTTTTTGACAAAGTTGAATGCTACATAGTAATCGCGTTAATGTGGGTGACGTGTTTAACTAAATTCATAAACTTAATAAATATACACTAGAAAATTAACCCCCAATCTAACTTTACCTTACATTAAAGTACATTCATATCCTGCTAAATATTAATAAATACATATAGGATATAAAAGTTCAGGACTCTATGTATATAAATTTATAAACAAGTTTTCTCTGAATATAATTATCATTTAATTCAAATCTCTTAGTTAATTTAAATCTCTTGGTTAATTATATAAAAAACTTATGAAAATTTTTCACTAATTTCGAAATATTTGAAAATGTTCTCTTTTAATATTATTTACAAGTAATTTGAATAAAATATATCGGCATTGGAACCAAACGGGATTGTTTCCAATTCACGCTGAACTAACTACACTTTATGCCCTTTTACCTTCCTCAAATGACATACTACGGTTAAATCAGAAGTCAGTATATCAAATTTGGTCAATACTCTGTCTTTTCCCACTCTCTAAATAAGATAGCAATATGTTTTGATTTTAACTCTGATTATTATTTTTCCATTTCATTTGGGATTTGTTTGTAGGTCTTGAAGGTTGAGAGCTTCTTTTTTCTTTTTTTTAACAGCTCTCATGAAATAAAATTATTACCTATGGGATTTTAAGTGTTTGATGTTCTTTAATTAATATTAATTTTGTTGTCTTTTAACATAGAACTCTCTGTGGAAATTCCATACAGATTACTATATTGCATCATATATCTCCCTCACTGCTAGCACAACTGATTTTCAAGCATGTTGCAATCTTCAGGTGCTGAGCATGAACTGTTAGACAGTTTTGAAAAATGGTTATCACAATGTTACTGTAATTATATATTATGCTGGGATTTTTTTTTTTTTTTATTTCTATTTTAAAATTTGAAAATTATATTTGGCAATTAAAATAAGTGGGATTTATATAGGTATGTTGAAAAGTAAGAAAATTAAAAATTTATATTTGAGTAGTGATTATTCATATTTTAATTAAATTTTTTTTAATTATATAATTAAAGGGAGATTATGTGTTCTTATTAAAACATGAATATATATTTGAGGCGAATGAAGAAAACAGTAACCAGCAAGTAAATACAAGCTCTCCCAGCTGGTATTTCAAACTTGAGTCGTTCCTTCTTGAGTTCTGTCTCCAAATCACACTAACTGCCCGTTCTAGCCGTCAACCGTGAACGTCCCTCGAAGGACTCCCCGACTCGGAAAAAAGTAGTTGTTTTTATAATTGTTCATGTACCCATAATCCCTTGCGTCTTCATGTGATCCCATAATTCATTGTGTCCATGTCCCATAATGCATTGCATCATTATTGCATAAAAATGCGATGCCAGTCCCCCCTCATTCTTTTACATTATCTGGCTGAGGATGGATTACGGCAGAGCAGTAAGTGCTTTTTTCTCTCCCTCATTTCAACTGCAGTAGCTTTACATGCTAAGCAAATACGGGCTCTTTTTTGGCGGGGAAAAGGCAAGTCGCGACCAGTTGTGCTCATCCCAGGTTCTGTCTCATGTCCGCCACACTCCCCTGATCTCCTGATCACACAGATGACAGTGAGGATACGGTCTTTTGT